TTAAATAGCTATATGTGTAATTATAAAGTATCTCTTTGGACAATATTTATGTTTTTTTTAAATAGCTATAGCTTTTTTAAATAGCTATATACTGAATTAAAAAAGTATCTCTTTTGAGAAGCTACGATATAAATATATTAAAAACAAAAATATCAAAGAACAAATGTAGCCGAAAGATTAAATTAGTTTTAATTGGATATGATCATGATGATTGACTGCAAGGTTTGCAAAGTAGTTCTGGTAATAACAGACACGGGCTTTTTTTTAGAAAAAACCCTCGTGCATTTGTTGAACTGAAAGCGATACAATCTAAAATGCTAACATATTCGAAATAAGCTATGATTTGACGCGAGAGTTTGAAATGAATGTTTGCGATTTATTTTCATCATTTGGTAGGCGATTTGGTAGCATTATATACTTTCTAGAACTATTGTTAGCTCTGACTTTCATCGATATACTTATTATCTACATTAGATATCGAGTGTGATTCAAGCGATGAACTTGTATCTGTTCGCGAATTATTCTGATGTTTTTGGATATTTTTTTTTCATTTTAATTGATTATAGTTTTCAGATCAATCGAACACAACAATTTTTGTGAATAACCTCATTAATCAAAGGTCTGCTCAAAAGATCACGATTAAATTAGACTTGATACCCTTTTCGAAGCTGGTTTTCTCTTTCAATCGATTTTATTGTCATGGATGAATTCTTTGAAATAGTCTCTGTCATGTTGCACAACAAGCATTTTCTCGTTTTTTTTACGGCATTGATTTTAAAGTGAACTAATCCAATATAGCTCGTTAAGAGTTTACTTTAAAACAAAAAAAAAATAATTCAAAATCGACAACAGAAAGAAAAGATTTAACTGCTCTTCATCAGGAATAACTATGTACGAGAATTTCTCTTTATGTCACTTGTCGATAATCAACATCAACGTATGTACAATCATCTACGCATCTGATAGATGTCGCTGGGTAAGCTCTGTTCCTAAGATCCATTAGAAAGATTTGATATTCAGAAAAACACCACTTTCTATAGAGTGAATTTTCTGAAAAATATGAACTTCGAAAAGTGAGTTTCATCCGTAAGTTCATAAGTGGGTGTCAAACCTCTAGTCACATCGATGATTCATACATATGTGACAATAGACTGCATAAGCAACACATTATTTGAAAGAACTATGGCTATGGCGTCCAACGCTGCTGCATTAAAAATAATTAATTTCCAATATGGCGATAAAACATTTCGTTCCAAATTTTCAACAGATACATCTGCTGTAGAACTCGATGAAGAAATTCGAAATGAATTCAATATTGAACTCGGTACTACTTGTGGTTTTGTTGATATGGCAGATAATACACGTGTTTTATTATCGGTTTTGAAACATTTGCCAAATGATGCAAACATTATGGTCATCGTGAAAGATTCAAATTCAAGAACAAATTTGTCCAGTGATACTCAGTAAGTTACTTCTTCAATAAAAATAATATCTCTTACTTGTTCTATAGACGTCTCTCACCTTCGTCATCATCATCAATAATTAACAATTCTGATGGAAGTATGTTTTCCTTCAATTTTTTTTATTTACATTAGGTAGTGTTTTCTCAGAGCTACTGTCATTCAGTGATAACAATTATGAATAGTGTCAAGGATATCTCATCATCAAGTGAAAGTACAAATAATAGTAAAACCAATTTAACCTATTATAGTACTATTCCTCCAACTGGACAAAAACAACATGTTAATGCCAATACAACAACGAAAGTTCGTAAAACAAAAGTAGCAATGAATCAAAAGGTATATTATTTTCTTGAAACCTATGCTGGCATTGAACGAAGTAAGTATTAATTGAAAAAACATTTTTTTTTCTTCACAAGAAATATTTCAGTGAATTGCATTGATGTTTCAAAACAAATCATGGCACGATTGGATATTAAGATTTATGAATTATACAATTTATTGAAATATATTAGAAATAAGGTAGATATACCTTCGTTAAACATGAACAAAACAAATGCAGCTAATATTATCGTCAAACTTCACGATACGGATTATTTAAATTCTCGAAATAAATGGTAAAAAAATATTCTTTCTCTCAATATCTATGTTTTTTGAAGTATAGATTGATAATACTATTGAAACAAAGACAATGTTTAATAAACAGCTGAACAAAAAAAGACCGCCGCTCATCTTTAACATTTAACATATACACATAAATATTTTGATGCATTAAAGTTACCATGCATCAGTTTTTCTACATTTAAAAAAATAAAGTTCTGATATCGTCCATAAAGAAAATAAATATATTACCTTCGTAGTTTTTTTTCTTTTAATTAAGAATCTTTTCGGTATTGCCTCCGAAAAAGACAACTCAGTCAATCGAATTGACTTTATTATATAATGAATAAACATCATTCTCTCACCAATTTACTGCATCTTAAGAAGTTGAAATGTCAGTTATTATGCATTGTTCCAAAACAACAGATAACATATGTTGATTATACGGACTGACTTTTGTCATCAGATAGTTGTCGAACATAACAATAGACATCATTATTGTCATGTTCAGTAAGACAATATATATTTAGGGTCAGTGAATTTTCAGCACAGGAATCTTCAGCATACGTATTAATCAGCACGAGGCAAAACTCAGCGTATAGACAATACTTATTGAATATTTAGAAAAAAATACATTTAGACATATTTAAATGATAATATAAAAAGAAACGCAAGGATAACAATTACATATTGTAAGCGATTGAATTGATCTGAGACAGAACCTCTACATGTACCACTGTCATGCCATTGAACGAAGTAATCATGTTGGATTTTACGAATCTTTCTCGACAACAAACACTATTTTGTATTAATCTCGTACGTAAAAAATGATTTCCTTGTATTCTATGTTCGAACTTCTTCAGCTTTACTTCATCTTGGTCATGGTCACTTGAATTCTCGTTATTCTGCCTGGAATTGTTCAAGGGCAACGTACTCGTCAACGCTAGATCAAATGTATACAATAGACAACAGTTCTGTTTGCTTTTTTTTTCTTGCTCTCTATCCATTTTTTAGATCGACAAAATGATGTTTTGAATACTAATACCTTTTGAATTATCTTTCATGTCTAGTCGTCGTCAAAAACGTGCTCAATTACGTGCTTTAGAATGTCTTGCTTATTCATCGACATTATTCTGTTTACGAGCCCAAAATGATTACGATCAACAAGCTTAAACGATTATCGAACAAGTTCGTCCATTATTACACATTTCTTCACATCGACATTTCGCAGAATTAAAACATATTCTTAATGATGAAGAATTACAAGGTTTAGTCTTATTGAAACATTTTGGTGAGACGAATTTAAAACAAAACTTGACGGAAATTGAAGAAAAAGAAGAAGAGGATAAAAATATATTAACAACGATGAATGCATTTTCGTCTATAGGATCGACGAAGAAAAAATTCTGAGCATCATCTTCATTGATTTTTCTTTGTTTTTCTCGTGTAGATAAAATTTTCTCCCTGTTGTTCAAGATCATCGCTAATAAGAGTAGTAAAACGAATCTATTTCATCCATGGATTGAAACGGGCCAATATGATATCTTTTTGTAAAATCTTTCAAAAAAC